CCCGTCTCGGCCTCCCAAAGTGCTGGGATTACAGGCTTGAGCCACCGCGCCCGGCCCATTGCAGGAATTTTCAATGAGGAGAATGTATATATTTTTGTGAACAATTTAATGAAAAATATCTAGAGAAAATAATAGCAAATCAGGAGAAGGTTGGAAGATAAAGTCGAGAAAGTTATATAGAAGAAAAGACAAAGCTGGAAAATAGAGACAAAAATTAAGTTGGAGGATTAATCCAGAAAGTCCAATATCCTACAAATAAGAATTCCACAAAGAGAGAACAGTAAAAATGAAGAGAAGACAATTATCAAAGAAACACGAAAAACTTCCTGAACTGAAGGTCTTGTGTTTCTACATCCAAAGAGTCCACAAAATACCCAGCCCAATGAATAGCAAAGACCCACCCTAAGACAGATCACTACAATTTCAGAACATCAGTGATAAAAAAGAATATCTCTAGAGAGGGAAGAAAAATTAAAAACCAGGTCACATCTAAAGAATCAGGAATTAAAACGGCATTTCTTAATAGCATCATTGGAACTTATAAGAAAATGGAGCAATGCCTTCAAAATTCTAAGTGATAAAGGTTTTGGTCTGAAAATTCTAGACCCATCTTGGGCAGATATCACAGACTGGGGCACTCAGCACCCACTCTTCCATCCCCTTCCTAACAGCTTTCCTCTACTTTAGACACTAGAAAGAAAAAAACTGTATTTCCCAGGCTCCCTTGCAGCAGCAGCTTTGCATGTCACTGAGGTCCATCAGGTAAACTCACCCAGGAGAGATTTGGGCATTGGAGACAAGAAATGGTAACTACACAGAGGTAGCACATATTCTGGGGCATTGTGGCAAAGGCTCTGCTATCTGTGTTTCTCATCCTTTTTTCTTTTTATTATTGCCCCTCTGTGGAGCCTTTTTAGACATATTTTCCTTTACCCCATCCATGAAATCTGAATATCATAGATATATTGTTTACCTATTTATGTACTATGTAAATATCTATTACCCCCAATCTCCTAAAACCAATTTTCACTGCCATTGAGAATGCATGTACTATCTGGTCCCTAGAGTTAAGCACCAAACAGCAGGTGGCGGGGGCTGTGGGATTACTATTAGAGCAGTCCTACGGCGGAACTGGGTGTTGTTCCTGGTTGTGTAACATCCAGGTGTCCCATTATGGCAGAGGAGTGAAAGGAATCCCTCCATCACACCAAAGGAAAATCCTAGGCTGCAGGCTTGCTTTGGGGCTTAAGAGTAGCCAGGACAGAATGAAGCAGAAGAACACAGGGGGCCAGGATACCCAGAAAAACACAGAACTAATAGGTCACTCTGTGCACATGGCCATGTTGATAGGAGTTCTAGAGTTCTGTGGTAGGATTTGGAAATGAATTCGATAGTTATGTAGAAAACTGAGTGATGAAGGAAAGGCAACTGTTAGCTCCAGGAAAAACACAAAGTTGTAGAGGAATGAAAATATAATCATAATATACTATGTGGCTCCTCTCCGAAAAATATTTATGAGTTCATAAAAATGGAAACACCAAATATTTGTTTAGCCCAAAGTAGTAATATAATTATATTGGGAGAATCAGGTTGAAGGGAGAATGGGAAAATACTTCTATTCTCATCATCCACAGTTAGGTTGTCAATGTACAATGTTTAAAATGGAAAAGTCCTGAAGGAGCACTATAAACATCTTCCCCCCCAACCCCAGAAAATGTGAAGGCCAATTCATATAGAAATAGTTAAAAGAGATGAAAATGTTGGCCGGGTACAGTGGCTTATGCCTGTAATCCCAGCATTTTGGGAGACAGAGGCGGATCACTTGAGGTCAGGAGTTCAAGACCAGCCTGGCCAACACGGTGAAACTCCGTCTCTACTAAAAAAAAAAAAAAAAAAAAAAAAATTAGCCGGGTGTGATGGCGGGTGCCTGTAATCCCAGCTACTTGGGAGGCTGAGGCAGGAGAACAGCTTGAACCTGGGAGGCTGAGGTTGCAGTGAGCCGAGATCGCGCCAGTGCACTCCAGCCTGGGCGACAGAGTGAGACTCTGCCTCAAAAAAGAAAAAAAAAAAAAAAGAGTTCATAGTGTTAACTATAGGAAGCAAAATTTAGGAGAAAACATAGAACAGGGACTTCTCTTTTTTGTTAAAATCTTATAGTGTTATTTGCCTTTTAAAATTGTTTAATACAAATAAAGTGAAATCCAAAAAATAAAAACAAGAGAAAAATGTCTGCCCTGTTCTAAAACTTCTTAATTGCTTCTTTTTTTCATTTCCTTCTGTGACAGTTTTTGTCTGTGATTACTTTTTCTTCATAAAAGACCTTGGCTATACCATATGTATATTACTTATGAGTCTTCACCTAGATGAAGCTCTTAAAACTGAACACTGTGCTACACGAATTCCCTTTACTTCCAAATTCTCTTCCTGGTCCAAATACTCTATCACTTGCATGGTGTATCTAGCCAATGCTGGCTCTCAAACGCAGGATCTCAAAGCTAGCAGGTTTCTGAAATTTGTAAAAACCATAGCTACTCAGAAAGATACAAGAATATTTACATCTTTATTACACATATTCAGTAAGAACCTTGGACATTTGATTTTTATTTTATTTACATAATAAAATGGATATAGTAATGTTAGTTGTCATAGTTATTAGTACTGATGTAATGTTAGTGAATTTAATTAACATTTTAACATACAGAAAGGATTGTGGATTATTTGTAAATTGGAAAGACACAGTAAAACCTTGTTAATTTATTATGGCATATGAATCAGCATATACCAATTATTTTTGTATTTGCTTAATTATAATGAAGTTCTTAATAGAATACGATATATTAAGGGCCCAGGGCAATAGTTCTTAAACTTCAGCGGGTACTTAGGAATTACCCATGAACACTAATAAAATGCAGATTCTAGGGCTCTGACGTAGAAAACGCTGATTCTTTATGTGTTGACTATTGCTCAGGAATCTGGACTTTAAATAAGCATACTGAGTGATTCTAATAAAGATGATCCTGGGACCCCACTGAGACACACTGTCTTGTTGAGTTGTATCAGACATACTTGAGTTGATTTTGTCTTTTGATTTATTTCTCAATGACACTCGGGCAACTCCAAAGGGAGCAATTTTAAGTGCTCTCTTAAATAAGTATCTAGGGACCAGTAGTGGAATATATTTCACACAAAGAGGAATAGAGTGGCTTTATGCAATAAAACCAAGTTCCTGGCTCCTGTCCTATAATAATGTAGGATCATTTTACTGGTTACCAGCTGGACGCCAACCAAAAAGAGATAAATATTTGTGGATTCAGAGATGGTATTTAGAGAAATACTGTGCAGAAGGATGAAATCTAATGGTGCCTGGCATTTTCAAAATAATCAATCAGAGTAATAATTTTAAATGTGCCACAAAGTAATATGATACTGCAAATTATAAATTATGCATTCATTTGCCTAGTTCTTATCCATGAAATTTTTATATGAATTACTGTTTGTCCTTTTAAAATCCCTTTCCTACTGTGTAGGTTGTAAAGACTCAGAAGAGATACTAACAGTTAAAAGCAAAATATCTAACCACAGTATATTCCAGCATTTAAGAAGAAAAAGTTCAAAACTAGTTGTTGCCCAATTTATTTCTGTAAGTGCAAAATTCTGTTAATGCTTTCAGGTGAGGTAGGCCAGGAATTTATTAAATTACTTAATGTACTCTTTATACCCTAAATTTTAGCCCTCAGTGGTTTTTTTCCCTCAATCTGGAGGAATAAGCTGACTAAAGCAACAACTTGTGTTTTTTGTTTGTTTGTTAGATTTTGTTTTAACTTATGGGATACATGTACAGGACATGCAGGTTTGTTACATAGGTAAATGTGTGCCATGGTGGTTTGCTGCACCTATCAACCCATCACCTAGGTATTAAGGCCAGCAGGCGTTAGCTATTTATCCTGATGTTCCCCCCTCCCACCCCCCAACCCCCAACAGGCTCAAGTGTGTGCTGTTCCCCTCCCTGTGTCCATGTAACAACTTGTTTTTAATCTACCCTTCTATCTAGCATATGGTACTTATGATGATAAATGTAACCATATGCTGTAAGACATAATGGTGATGATGATGATGAAGGTGCTGGTGCTGCTGATGAAGGTGATGATGGCTAATATTTATTGAGCACTTACAATATGACAAGCATTAAGTGTATTAAGTTATTTGAACACCACAACAAATCATTATTACTTCCATTTTATAGATGACAAGATTGAGGCCCGAGGAGGTTAAGTAACTTTCCCCAAATCAAATAAGTAGGCCTCAAACTTAAGGCAGTCTCATTCCAGTGCTCTTCTTTATCTGTTGTTTTATATTAACATAACCCTCACCACCCAGTGCCTCAACAAAGCTAAGGACAAAATTTCAGATGAAGTATCTAATAAAGGACCCTCCTTTCGTGTTTATTTCCACCTGACCTACATCTTCACTTTGGAAGTGGTAACCCATTATTTGTAAATTTAATAATAAATTGGTTTAAGCTTCCTTGGGAACAGTATCTCTTTCATGATAGGTTTTCCTTTAAACTTAATGTTTTGTGATTTTAATAACAACTGTCTTGTGACATACAGTATTTTAGGCCTACATCAAAATGTACACACAAAAAAATCTAAATAAGAGGGAATAACTATCTGATTTCAAATGGAAAATAAATTAAGATATAATTTGATGAGATCGAAACTAGACTATTATCTGATTATAAGGTCATTCCTTAGCAGGTACCTCATGTTTATCCAGAGTCACCCATCCTGGAGAGCAAGTTCTTTGGCAAGAGAACAAGGTTAGATGTGGTAACCCCAGACATTATGGAAAGAGATGACTCTCATTTCTAATTTTTCACTGGCTGGAACCCTGACATTAGTTAGGACACTGGTATTGTAACCTGTGGACCAAAACCCAGCATCTATAAAATGACAATAAGGGAGAAAGGGTTTAGACATAAAATAACACACAACAAAACATGCAGTTTGACACATTTACTTACAAAGGGGGAATTCTGCTGAAAGTGATAGGCTTCTGGGGACTATGCAAAACTCTTCAGCAGGCTGGAGAATAACTTACAGCTTTCTCTTTGTCACAGAGCTGGCAGCAGAAGAGGGTGGGTGTAACTCCTCCCCTAGTAGCCAGACTACACTGTTGAGAAGAACAGTGATATGTCAACATGTATCAGAAAGGCAACTCTTCTTACAATTATAGATAAACAGAAAGAACCTGGAATATTAGGTGAACTGGGAAAATGAGACCTTCTTCCCCAGTGCAGCGCCCCAAGCAGATGCAATAAATGCTGCTAGTAGTGGCAGTGCTTATGATGAAACCTGGGGAGGCTACAGCAATTTATATTTAAGATGTTTCATAATTTGGACACGAAAACTATTATGCAGACATGAAAGAGATAGAACTTTATTTTTCTGTACGTAGGGATCAGGGGTTGCAGGTTGCATGCTCATGTTGTAATAAATAAGCATGAAAGGGGTGTTCTTTGTATTGAGATTTGACTCATTCACATAAAGATAAAAACGCCAAATAAAGCTATGAGGAAAATAGAATGCTTCCCCAAGATGCACAGATTTAAAACAGAAATCTTTGCAGGCCACTGAGAAATAATAGGCATTTTTAAGAAGAATGATTGATTAGAGACGTAATAAATTCGAGGTAGTTCTGGAACCTGTGAAGTAATTAGAAAGCAATGCTATTCCCAAACTGATGAGTAATCATTAGTTTCATTTGCATCTTTTAGCCTAATTTAAACCTAGACTGTGGTCTCACAGAGAAAGTACCAAAAATTCTTGGGAATCATATAATTTTAGAGGAACAGGGGACCATTGAAATCATTTATTTTAAAAATCTCTTAACATTCTCAATGAAATTGAAGATAAGTGATTTGTTTGCTGGTACAGTCCACGTCAGTGGTGAAGCCAGAACACAGTGGAGCCAGGACTTCTCCTACTGTGTTTGCTACCTCTTGTTTAGCCTAGTTAGATCTTAAAAGGGTGACATTCTAGTTCCATTTTCCAGTCTCAGGCTAGGGTTAGCTTGTAAGTGCTTAAAGATGCCCCTCTGGTTAACTTGGGTGTTATTATGTGTATGGTTCAATGTTCTTCATCTATCAAAATTATTCCAGGGTAAAGGAGCATAGAATAGGCAAAATAATTGCCTGAGAGCTCAAATTCCATGGCACATACTATTTTTTACAAAACAAGAGCAGCTTGGCAGATTCTTCATTTCTTCTCAGTGGTTTCTTCAAAGCTAAAAATAAGTTGGGAAGGAAAAATGTCATTTTAGCAATCTTTAATGATCACAGCGATTTTGGGAGGCAAGGACAATGAACCCAGGACAAGCACACTGCCGCACTGCCATCTTACCACACGTGGACACTGCCTGGTGCTCCTGCGCCTTTGTCTAAGTAACTCTTGTTAACAACGTGGCTGCTATACTGAAATCCCTTACTACTGGTTATTATTCCTCAGACTCATAGTACTAGTAACTTTAAAAATAATTGAGTCTATGATTAAGTTCATGCTCATAGCCACAACACTCCTATGAGGTAGGATGAACAGTTACCATTATTCACATGTAACAATGGGAAACTTAAGGCACACAGAAGTTGAGCCAATTTCTAAAGTTCACAGCTATCTGATGGAAAAGTTAGGGTTAAAATTCAGGTCTTTCAACTTCAAGCTAAACTTCTTTCTTATAGACATGTTCCTTTGATTTTAACATTAAAAAAAGAACCTTCCTTGGTACTTTTCTTGTAACATATGAATTTGTGAATATGACTGTTTCTTCTTTTGATTATAGGCATCATTTATCCTTTACATCACCTCACATAGTTCCTTGAACATAGTAAGCGGTTAATAAATGTTTTAACACAAGAATTGCTCTTTATAGGATGGATGTTATCCAAGGTAGGGCGGTGAGGCATTATATACAATTAGTTTAATTCTTTCTCTTTTGTCTCCACTGCAGAGCTTCTGGTATAATTAGCAGATACTGGTCAGGCTAATTGTATGGCCTGCATACAGTTTATGCAACCATCACTGAGTTATCAGCTTAAAATGCCAGCTTCAATTCTTCATTAAAAACATGAAGAGATAGTATTTTTAATATGAAACAAATGGTTTCCATTTTCAGAATTATACTAAATTTCTTGGATTAATATTATGTGTCAACTTGACTAGGCTAAAAGGTGCCCAGATAGAGCTGTTGAAACATTATTTCTCAATATGTATTTGAGCATGTTTCCAGGAGAGATCAGCATTAGAACTGGTAGACTAAGTAAAGAAGATTCTCTCACCCACGTACCCTGGCATCATTACATCTGTTGAGGGCCCAAATAGAACAAAAAGGTGGAGGAAGGGTGAATTCATTCTGTTTGAATTGGGACATCCATCATCTCCTGCCCTCGGATATCACTGCTCCTGGTTCTCAGGCTTTTGGGCATAAACTGAATTACACTGTTGGCTCCTGTGGTTCTCAGGCCTTTGGGCTTGGACTGGACCTACACTACTGGCTTTCCTGGGCCTTTAGTTTACAGATGGCAGATCGTGGGACTTCTCAGCCTTCATAATCTCAACCCAATCTCTTGTAATAAACTTCTCTCTCTCTCTCTCTCTCTCTCTCTATCATCTATTTATCTATATCTATCTATTACATATCTATCTATCTATTATATCTAGAGTTCTCTAGAGAAACAAAACCATATCTATCTTCTATTGTTTTTGTTTCTCTGGAGAACTCTAATATAATCTTTCTTAAGTTTTATCATGCACCAAGCAATGTTCTGAGCTCTTCATATAAGCACACCTTTATAACCTCATAAACTTGGAGTTGGTGCTGTTATTATGCTCATTTTTACACGAGGAAATGGAGACTTAGAAAAGGTTAAATAACTTGCCCAAGATCTTGCTGCTAATAAATGGAAGAGACTAGGTCCGTCTGATTCCAAAATCTAAGCTACTATTACTACTATACTATATTTTACCTATAGTTTTGTAACTCTGACACAGCAAAATTTTCCCAGATGGCTAAAATACTCCCTATTCTCTCTCTCTCTCTCTCTCTCTATATATATATATATATAATTTATTTATTTATTCATATTTTTTTGAGACAGAGTCTCGCTCTTTTGCCCAGTCTGGAGTGCAGTGGTGTGATCATGGCTCACTGCAACCTCCTCCTTCTGGGTTCAAGCAATTCTCCTGCCTCAGCCTCCTGAGTAGCTGGGACTACAGATGCCTGCCACCATGCCTGTCTAATTTTTTTGTATTTTTAGTAGAGACGGGGTTTCACCATGTTGGCTGGTCTCGAACTCCTGATCTCAAGTGATCCACTGGCCTTGACCTCCCACAGTGCTGGGATTACAGGCGTGAGCCACCATGCCTGACTTATTTGTTTTTTTGAGACAGGGTCTCACTCTGTCACCCAGGCTGGGGTGCAGTGGTGCGATCACAGATCACTGCAGCCTCAACCTCCCTGGGCTCAGGCCATCCTCCCACCTCAGCTTTCTGAGTAGCTGGGCCTATAGGTATGTGCCACCACACCCATCTAATTTTTGTAGTTTTTGTAGAAGTGGGGTTTCACCATGTTGCCAGGCTGGTCTGGAGCTCCTGGGCTCAGGTGATCCCCCTGCCTCAGCCTCCCAAAGTGCTGGGATTACAGGCATGAGCCACTGCACCCTACCATTCTAGATATTAAATAATTTCGTGTAGTTACTCCAAATACAGACTATGTTCTGTCATGTCTGACTAAAATAAAAATTTAGCTTAAGGAAACTCCTTTCTGCAGACATTATTTGTTCTAGCTCCGAGATTGTATCTCCATGCTGCTTACTTTAGGTTGCAATATGTTCCCAACACCCACCTTTCAAGTTTTTAAAATGGCATTTCAATTTTTTCTTCAGTTTGTATGCTCAGCCACCTGTGCGCTTCCTCTACTTCTCTAAAGTGAAGAAAAGGAAAAAAAAATAGTTTCTTTCCAATATAATGTTAGTAGAGAGGTCTGGATTTTTGGATTAATATACTGTAAGAAGCAGCTAATTGATTACAAATCCCACTGGAACACTCCCCCGGGGAATGAAGGTCCCGGTTTTTTTACTCTTCCTTTTATCTTCTATTCCGTTTCAGCTGAGAATCCACCAAACTAGGATTGAGTCAACCAGTGAAAGAATTCTAAGCAAGAAGGGATTGCACTGATGAGTTCCACTGCCTCTTTTTCAGAGAGACAAATGTAAGCCCACAGACTGATTACTAAAGCAGGTGTATTTTTATCTGTGCTGTCTTCTTATTCGAGACTCTAAGCTAGTCATCAAGCCAATGGTATAACTGATAGCTGACGGGAGTTTCGGGAATGGGTGTTAAGTGTGAGAGACATGAAGTGGTAAGGTCGGCTCTAAATGTATTTTTACTTGGATTCCAATCTACTGATCAGCTGTGTGCCCCTGGGCAAGTTACGTAACTTTTCTGTGACACAATTTCCTTTAAGGAGGGCGTATAATAGTATCTATTTCACACGGTTATTGTGAGGATTAAATGAGCTATTCTACCAAAAGTATTAAAGCTGTGGTTAAACTCTCATTAAATATTAGTTATTTCTACCAAAGTTAAACTGCCAAATCCTTGAGTCTTGATTTGTCCTCATAACTGCTGTGGCATTCCTCCTCTTTTAAAGTCTTCTGAACAGAAGTTGACGTTTGCATTTTAAAGGAGCTCAAATGGCTTACTTTTACGAAGTTTGGGGCAAATGGATCCTATATACACGAGACCCGCCAGGGCATGTAAACCTGGCGGACTTCAACAGTCTGGGGGTGACTGCGCTCAGGGGGTGAAGGCATGCTTAGAAACTGTCTTTCTCGGGAAGAAGATGAGGCCTTCAACGAGGGCGGCTGGCTACCAAAGAACTAAACTTTCACATAGCAAAGCGGAGCCGGTCTCCCTGCGCCCGGGGGCGTCGAATCCAGGCCCGGCTCTCACCACCCAAAGGCCCGGGTGCGGCTGGAGGGTGACGAAAGCGTCAGACCCCGGGGCCGCTCTCAGCTTTGGGCTTTCACCCGGCAGTCTCACAGACAAAGGGGCTTCTCAGCCAGGTCGCTGTTCTGGTTTGTCGTCCTCCCAGCCCCCACCTTGGTCCCCAACTTCCCCCGGCGCCGACTCGGCGGCGTCCCTCACATCGCCCCTTTGGCCGCCACCCCGGGCCCCTTTGTTGTCTGCCGTCTCTCCTAGAGAGGGGTGGGGGGCCGCGACATTCCAGGGAGGAGAAACCGAGAAGTGAGGGCAAAGACGCTCTTACATGCTCCCAACCGAGGAGCGCGCCCCACGACGCTCGCCAGCCGCCCTCCGTCGGCAGCCCCGGCCGCGCCTCAGCGCCCTCGCCCGGGTCCTCGGCACAGAGGAGGGGCGTGGCGCGGCCGGCGCTCTCTGATTGGCTGCGGGCGTCAGGGCGCCGCGCCGCGATTGGGTCGCGCAGCTGTCTGGAGCGAGAGCGCGCGAGGTGGGGAGGGGGCCGCTGGAAGCTGCTGGAAGTCGGGGGCGGGGGATGCGGCGGGGGCGCCGGGGCGGGGACGACTGGGGCTACGGCAGGAGGGGCCGCGCCTGTGCAGGGCGGTCGGGGGCGACAGGCGCGGGAGGCGGTGGCGGCGGAGGGGGAGGTGCGAGCCGGGCGCCGCCCCCGGCCCCTCCCGGGCCCTCCCCGCTCAGCGCTCAGACCGCGGGCGGCCCAGGGGCGGGCGCGCCGCTGCATCCCCATCCTCGTCGTCGCCCGGCACAGCGCGAGCGGGCGAGCGGCGCGGGCGGCCGGAGCGCCGAGGCCCGGCCATGGCCACCACCAGCACCACGGGCTCCACCCTGCTGCAGCCCCTGAGCAACGCCGTGCAGCTGCCCATCGACCAGGTACCCCGAGGCGCCCTGGCGCCGGGCGTCGCGCCCTCGCCGCCCCTCCTCCCTGCCGTGGTGCCACCCGACCGGGGGCCCGGGAGGAGGGTGGGGGCTGGGGCCGGGCGCCCGTTGCCCCCCTGCCCGCCGCTCCCTGGAAGGGAGGGGGCAACAAGCCGGTTATTGTCCCAGAGCCCCCTCCCTCGTCAGTGCGCCCCCAGCCCCCCAGCCCTCCAGCCCCGGGCCTGGCGGGGGTGGGCTGGGCATTGTTGCCAGAGACAGCCCCCGGGGAAGGTGGTCGTATGGGCATGCGGGTGTGCATGCCGTCCCTGCCCTCCGCGGCAGCGGCGCTCGGATTCGGTGGTCGGGTCCCGGAGCAGCCCCCGGTGTGCATGGACCGGGGTGTAGAAAGGGTGCGGAAGGCTGGGCTTTGGTGAGCCCGGCGTGGTGCTGCCTGCCCCGCGCGCGCCTCTGAGCGACCCCTGGAGAGGCTGATGCATGGGTCTGGGTGTGCTGGGTGCCTTATAGACGGCGTCGATGGGTGCGAGGGGCCCGGAGAGGCTTAAGCGCTACTGCACTTTGGGGACAGTTTGCGTTGGATTGTGGCTTAAGAGAGACAGAGGCAACAGTTTGGGGGAAGGCAGACAGGTTATGAAGAAAAGTCAGAGGGAGTTAATCCCAGGATTCTAGCTGAGAAAGTGGCAACCCTGTAGATTGATACAACCACCTTACCTCCTTGCTCAACCCTCAAAAAAGCTCTTGACAGTGTCTAGGGAAGGGTGGCATTTAAATGAGGCCAATCGAGTTTGATGGTTTAAAGGGCCTAAGGATTACTGAGAAATAAACAGCATTGTGATGGGAAAAGCAGCGCCATTTTCACTGAGAAAAGAAAGTTTGGAAGTATTTTGTTGTGAGAGTGAGATTTAGGGAAGTTGTTAATGGGGCTGGGGGGCGGGCGGGGGTATAGTTAGGTGATTGCTCTAGCCCCAGTCTAAAGGTAGTTAACTTTGGAAATTTTGCTTACAATTATTTCAAGTGTACTTAACCTGGAAGTGTTTGCACTTCACACGGGATACAGGTTCACTGTCTTGAACTTGAAGGTGCTGCTGTCATTTAGTCTTCAGGGATTTCATTTCGATATGGGACTCCTTCTTGTCCAGACGGCTTTCCATAGCAGCAAGCTGGAAACCTGACATTAGGATACTAGCTGCTTTGTGCTTTACTGTTTTAAATAAAGTCGCCTTAAGTATGTCGAAGGAGTGTTAAACAATTGTGGCTTCTGTTGAAATTCCACATCGCAGCCATAACTTCTGATTAATAGTAAAGTACCTATCCCCCACCTGTCTTGAACAACAGTTCTAATGTGTGTCTTGCTAATGAAGTATGGTAGTGAAATTGATCGTGTATTTGAAGAAAATATTCTTCTCTCTTTATTAGTAAATTGACCAGAATTTAGGGTTTTTCATCCTCTCGGCCCTGCGGAGGATTCTTGCTGACGTTTCCGCACTGGTGTGCAGTGTATGACCTTTTAGCGTATCACACTCCTGCCTGAAATAGGCTGCTTCCAGTGTATCAGCAAATGCAGGGTGGGTGTCTGTTGAAAAGTTCCTTGCTGATGAGGAGCAAGGGAGATAGGTTTATACACTTACATTTCTTTCAGAGAGATGGGCACATATTCACGTTCTCTTTTTCTCTCCCCCCTTTCTTTCCCTTTCACTCCATGTCTGCTGTAGCCCTGCCTGTCCCTGCTATGCTGAAATATTTTCTTAAATATGCTAATAATACCTATTCATTTATATAATGCTTATAACTTTTTAGAGTGATTTTATATTAATGAACTCATTTAAGCATCCAGAGAAAGTTCTTTTCAGTACTGAAATAAGCAGGAGAATCAAGGGAAAGTGACAGGACTTAAAATTTTTGACATCCTTCTTTATTAGCTAAAGGTCTTAAGTTGGTATCGTGGGACTACTCTAAATTTGTACAGCCATGTGTAACCCTGACTTTGTGTAGCACAGTCGTGCACTGTATAGTGACATTTTGGTCATCAGACCGTATGTCTGATGGTGGTCCTATAAGATTATGATGGAGCCGAACAATTCCTGTTGCCTAGTAAAGCTGTAGTCATTGTCATGTCATAGCACCACGCATTACTTAGGTGTTTGGGATGATGCCAGTGTAAACAAACCTACTGTGCTGCCAGTCCTATAGAAATCTAGCACATTGTGTATAAAACTACACAGTTAGGTACAGTACATAATATTTGATAATGCTAAGTGCATCATTGCTTTATGTATTTACTATACTTTTTATTGTTGTTTTAGAGTATACTCCTATTTATTAAAAAAAAAAAAAAAAGTTAACTGTGGAACAGCCCGAGGCAGGGCCTTCAGGAAATATTCCAGAAGGCATTGTTATTATAGGACATGGCAGCTCCATGCGTGTTATTGCCCCTGAAGACCTTCCAGTGGGACAGGCTGTGGAGGTGGAAGACAGTGATGTTAATGATCCTGACCCTGTGTGGGCCTAGGCTAGTGTGTGTGTTTGTGTCTTAGCTTTTAATTGTTTTTTAAATTTAAAAAAAATTAGAAAAAAGCTGATAGAATAACAATATACAAAAAGAATATTTTTGTGCAACTGTGCAGTGTGTTTTATGCTATTATAAAAGAATTAAAAAGTTAATAAAGTAAAAAAGTTACAGTAAGCCAAGGTTAATTTATTATTGAAGAAAGGAAAATGTATTTTATAACTTCAGTGTAGCCTAAATGTAGAGTATTTATGAAGTCTACAGTGGTGTACGGTAAAGTCCTGGACCTTCGCATTCACACACTACTCACTCACCCAGAGTGACTTCTAGTCCTTCATGGTGAGTGCCCCATGCAGCTGTACCATTTTAAATCTTTTATGCTGTATTTTTACTCTACCTTTTCTATGTTTAGATACATACATACCTACTATTGTGTTACTTACTATGGTATTCAGTACAGTATGCTGCTGTATAGGTTTGTAGCCCAGGAGCAATAGCTGTACCATCTGGTCTAGGTGTGTAGCAGGCTATGCCATCTAGGTTTGCGTAAGTACACTATGGTATCCACACAGCAACAAAATTGCCTAATGATTTTTCAGAATATAGCACCATCATTTAGTGACACGTGACTGTACTTTGAGTTGTTTTCTCTTTGAGCAAGGCTTTAAAATACTGGATTAACTTTTTGTAGTGATAATAAATTGTTTCTTTGAAGCACTTAAGAGTTGACTTTCTTGTTGATGAAGCCGTTGGAATAACTAAATCTCAATTTTGTAAAATTGGATGACTGAAGTCATTTATCTATTATTTTTAAATTGAGCAAAATAGAAAATTTTTATAATGTAAATAATTTATTCCAAGTTGAGAGAAGGCTTATGAATTTGTTATAATCGGATAGTGTGATTCAATAGGAAAAAGACAAATCAGGAAATGAAGAGTGTAAAAATATAACTTGTTAGTATGTTAATTTGGTATGTGCTAATTAACAGTGTTTTGAAAAATTAGGAAATTATAAAAGCAGTTGTTTGATGTCTGAGGAAGAAAAGGATTTTAGTGTAAGAAAAACAATTGACTTTTTACTAGGTAAGTGTGGAATTTATGAGATGATAGAAATTATGGGTCTGCATGGAATGTAAGAATGCACCTTGCAGGGCAAGGTAGCAGAAAGGAGGAAGTGTTTTGTGGTTAGGCTGAGGCCAGGGAAGGAAAAGAAGCAAAAGATTACTTTGCCGTAGACTCCTGTGCTGTTTCATCTTTACTGAGAATTCCAGAGGTATTGGAATTTAGGTAGCCATAGTATTTGTTCAGTAGGCCTTAAATTTTAATAACAATATAGAATCTATTAAGTGAGGTTACCTGATGCTTTAAGAGAGGAAGTATCCAGCATCTGATGTTTGCCTTTCTAGGCCTTGTTTTCCAGATGACTTTATTTCTAGGGTAATGTTTGGTAGGTGGTTATGATTAAAGGAATGTATGGAGAGTGGGTTTTGAAGAGGGAATTGTACAGAGAAAGAGCTGTGCCAAGAAAAGGCCCAAATGTGCTATTTAGACGACATCAGGAATCACTGAAGGTATCTGTGTTCTTTATTATTAATAGTTGCTGATGTGCTGGATTTTTAAGACTCGAAAGCGAGTACCAAAATGAAACAAGAAAATAATTAAATGTCCCAGATCAACCTATTTTTTAGAGTTTTTATTTTTCAATCTTAACATACCCTATACTCTATTACATTTGATTTGCCTAACTCCCGGTTACCAGACTGAGGTTGCTATCTAGCCTTTTCCCTCTTCCTCCCTCCCTCCCACCTCTTTCTTGCCTTTTTAACCATTTTCTGTCCTTATTTCTCATGATGCTGTAATTACTGCTATGAAACTAGAGTAAATTTCTCTAGTGATGTGATATCCAGGATGGCATACTTGGCAGAAGGTCAGTTAGGGATGAAACTGGCCTGTATAAAGTCATTGAGCAGCCGTGTTT